CCTGGTGGGATCTTGGGCACGCACATGCACGCACCCAGCATGAGTTTTAAGCCACCAGGTCTGGGACGCGAACCGTGGTCGACTACATGGGAGTCCAGTGACATAGCCATTATGCTAACTGCTGGTCCCCCAAATTCTGACAGAATGAGAGAATGGAGGAGAAGGGATTGTGGCATGGCCATTGCCCCAGGGAATGATTTCTTGCTTTCTGTCTCTTTGTCTCTCTAGTAAGTGCACACACCCTGATAGCAAAAATCTCTCTCTCAAAAAAAAAAAAAAAGGAAGAAGAAGGAGGAGGATATTGTGCCTGTGTCAATCAGGATCTATGTCTTAAGACCCCATGTAATCTGTATGCATATAGGAGTTTGAGAAACGCTGGCCTAGATGGTAAAGTCAGGGATGCCATGGACTTTTTCTATCTTCTTTGTTTTGCATGCCTAGTGCCTATCTAAAGTTTAACACATGCTGGCTGAAAATCTGTGCATTTTCCCCTGACCTTGGGTATGTTTGCACTTCTAGGGACTTTGAAAATTTCTAGGGACAAAAGTAGTATGAATTTCGAGGGACTAAAGTGGTAAATAGTGGTATTGAAAGAAGGGAATCGAGTGGGAATGGAGTTGACCTTCAGTGGTTGAAAAATTGAAGGGAGCATAGTCACAGGTGGCGGTGGTTTTCATATAGAGACCTTTGACCTCCTAAATCAAAGTCTCTAAGGGTGGGCCATAGGATCCGTATGTTTTAAAAAATGTTCTTGATGTTCAAAAGTTTATTATATATAACATTATGTATAGTAAAAATCATTTTTGATGTTCCTCAAGAGCAAGTAGGTAAATACAATGGAATACTATTTAGAAATTTAAATAAATGAAATAGAACTGGGTGTATAAATGTGAATAAATCTAACATTTGTTTTCCTGAGGAAAAAGAGTTACAGGGGATATGTGAGGTATAGTACTATTTATTTAAAGTTTAAAAGAATCATGTATGTAATGAAAATATAAATATGTCATAAAAGCAGGAAGATCTGGATGGGTATGATAAACACCAAATTCAGGCTAGTAGTCGGCTTTGAGAAGGAAGAAGGATATGGATGAAAATTTTGTTTCTGTTTTTGTAATTTTGCTATAGAACGTGTGGGCTCTTTGGACAGAGACAGAGAGGGAGAGTGAGAAAGTACCCTGCCCCCCCCCTCAGAGGGTATAACCCTGCCATAGTCCCTACTCCCCTGTTCTCCTCTAGGGAATTTGGCACGTGCACAAGCCACAGGTTCAGGACTCAAAAGTACACAATCAGCCATGTGGTATCCAGCCATCTTAACCACTATGCCTCTGGTCGGCCCTGGGTGGGAGCTTTAATAGTTCCTTCATGTTTTATCTCTTAAGAGAAAGAAAAGGAAGGAAGGAGGAAGAGAGAGAAGGGGGGGAAAGGAAGAAAGGAGAAAAGAAAGAAGGAGTAAAAAAGTAAAAAAAAAAAAGATTGCAGCAATAAACATGGAAAAATATGGGTTTTCTTTACAGAAATGAATACATAAATGTTCATATTAATATTCTCTGTAGTTTTTCTGAGTGCTTGAGGAATTTTATTATAAAACCACTAACACAAAACTGAACTGGTAATTTTTTTTTTTTTTGGAGAGGTTTTTGCTATAGGGTCATGCGCTCACCAGAAAGACAGACAGAGTCAGACAGAAAGCGAGAAATCACCCCCAAGTGGGGATGGCCACGCCACAATCCCTTCTCCTCCATTCTCCTCTTGGGATCTTGGGCACACACGTACATGCGCCCGGCGTGACTTTAAGCCACCGGGTCTGGGATTCGAACTGCAGTTGACCACATGGGAGTCCAGCAACATAGCTATTACGCTAACTGCTGGTCCCCAACCGAACTGGTAATTGTGACATAGGCAGTTAGCATTTGTGAATTATTTTCTTGGATATTTCTAATGATCTTCCAATTCTAAAAGGGTTTGTGCTCAGAGAATTCTCCCAGCCTCTTTCTCTTGTTCTTACAATCAACCATGGCTAGTAGGCTGTGTCTGAGGCCTGTAGCTGTCCTGTATTCTGTCCTGATGAGATGTTGCCATTTCCTGTGATTATGATGTCAGTGAACCCATTCTTCTAACTCCTTTTTCTTTTTAGGATTTTGCCATAGGGTGCATGCACTTGCCAGAGAGACAAAGAGACAGACACAGGGAGAAAGTGAGAAATTTCCCCCGCCGCTACCCCTGCCATGGGGTTAGCCACATTGAAATCCCTTCTCCTCAATTCTCCTCAGAATTTGGGGCATACATGCACATGTGCCAGGCATGATTTTCAAGCTGCCAGGTGCAGACTCTAATTGTGGTTGGCCATGTGGGAGGGAGTCCAGTGTCTTAAACACCAAGCCACCCATGGGCCCCAGCACCCTTCTAAGTCTTTCAGGACCTCACTTGCCAGGGGTTCTCTCTGTTGTCTACTTCTCCCCATTATTAAAGTAGAGGACTTGACTGACAACCATCTTAACCCTACAGCTGTAGCTCCAGGGCCATCTCTGACTTTTCCTTCCAGCATTCTGTTTCATGACATCTTCACAGATACTTCAGTTCTAGGGTGGCACTTAGTTGTCCATGTGACTCCTGAGACTTTCCAGTGGCCTCCCCAAGCATTACAATTTGCAGTCAGATTTCTTATTGCTGTATCATTTCTTAACTTCCTCTCTTTACTAGAAGTGTTCCTAAAGTTTAATCAACAAGGATGATACTTGCTGATCTATGAATCAGAGAATGCTAAGGAAGCGCAAGTAGCTCTCATAGCTGGTGCCAAAGTGAATTTTTTTTATTTAGAGAGGTTTTTGCTATAGGGTGCATATGCTTGCTGGAGAGACAGAGACAGAAAGTGAGAAATCATCCCATGGCGGTATGGCTACACTGCGATCTCTTCTCCATTCTCCTCTTGGGATTTTGGGCACATAAGTGTCTGGTATGAGTTTTAAGCCACTGGGTCTAAGACTCAAACCACAGTCACGTGGGAGTCCAGTGACTTACCATTATGTCATCTGCTGGTCCTGCCAAAGTGAATTTTAAGATTTTATTTCCATATTATTATTTTAAATAGATTCTATAGCAATACTTTTGAACTAGGTAGATGTCCCATCTCCCCCTGCCTCCCATCCCTCCTGGCCATGGATATGTGGCAGTGTCTGGAGACGTTTTTGGTTTCATAGCTAGGGGAGTGTTTGCTACTTGTGTCTAGTGGCTAAAGGTTAGGGGTGCTGCTAGAATTCTTGGCAATACACAGAACAGTCCCCCTTCTCTTTACAAAGAATCATCCATTCTGAAATGTCAGTAGTGCGAAGATTGAGAAACCCACCGTACAGATCTTCATATTATGAAAATACTCCTATCAGGATCAGCAATTAGCATAATGGCTATGTCCCTGGACTCCTACATAGTCAATTGTGGTTCAAGTCCCGGTCCCAGTGGCTTAAACTCACGCCAGATTTGTGTGCCAGGCTTGTGTGCGTGCATGCCCAGGATCTCGAGAGGAGAATGGAGGAGAAGGGATTGTGGTGTGGCCATACACCCTGGGAGGGTGATTTCATGCTTTCTGTCTCTTTGTCTCTCTCTGTCTTTCTGGTGAGCACACGTACCCTATAACAAAAACCTCTCCAAAAAAAGAAAAAAAGAAAATTTTCTTATCAAAGAGGGAGTGCAGATGGGCTTTGGCTCCTTTAGAGTAGGACAATGGAACATGGGATTAAGAATCCCAGAAAATATATAGAGACTCTTCCTTTATCACTTCCATGGCATGCTGGGGGCTGGGTAGCTCATGATATTGAAGATGGAGAATGTGAAGAGATTAAGGAGATCAAGGGAAAATTGGAGAGGAACAAAGTCCAGGCAGTGGGAAGATTAGACAGAAGCTGTCTGTAGTGCCTTTGAACATTGCACCTTGCTATAAATTGTACCCTCATGCTATAGAAATACAGAGGAACATATTTAAGAACATTAACAATGCAAAATCATTACATTGGTAGGATGTACATTACACAGATCATTCCCAGTGATTCATGACATTTTCTATCCACACTCATCTGCAGTGTGATTCCGCCAGTCCTTTTTTTCAAGAGGTGGAGTATATTTTCTTGCCCTGAAGTCTGGTCTTGTCACTTGCATTGACAGAAGAACGTGGACAGCATAACATGATGTGACTTCTGAGGCCCTTCAGCTTTGATATTCTTTCTCATGGAATACTCTGTCATCATATGAAGAAGCCCAACCTGATCTCGGCTCTTCAGTAAGAGGGTCCAGGTGCTAACAGTCACAGTTGGCACAGCCCTGGCCAACCTTCCAGCTTAAGGTGGCCCTATCAGGGAACCCGATAAAATCAGCTCACTTATCCAGCCAACCAACAGGGGAGTGAGAAATAATAAATTTTGGTTGTTTTAAGCCACTAAACATTGGGGATAGTTTGCCATACAGCAATAAATAACTGGACATTGTCTGTAAGTAGCTTCATATAAAGGAGTGGGCACATTATTGACCTTAGAATAAATGTGTAGGGGCTAGTCCTGTAGCCTAATGTTTAAGGAATTCAGATCCTACATGTCTAACCATAGTTTGTGTCCCAGCCCTGGCAGCTTGAAAGACACGGTGGGGTGCCTGTGTATGTATGTCCAAAATCCCAACAGGATGGAGAAATGGAGGAGAAGAGATTGCAATGTGATCATGTCCCATTGGGAGGAGCTTTCTCTCTCCTCCTCCTTCTATCTCTCTCTCTCTCTTTTTTTTTTGTTGTTGTTGTTGAAGAACTTAATTTATTTGTTTTAACTGCGGTGCTCTACACGATCAGAGAAACTTCTCTAGTAACAAACTATAGAAACGATCCCTGAAAGTATAGTCATCTTCTATCTCTCTTGAAGAACATACCCAACTCTGGCAGTTAAAACAAAAATATGTGTGTAGAGTAAATACCAGAACATGGCTAAAAGAAACTGAGTTCTTCACTCCTTTGTTTCTTGCAGCACTTCTCAGAACTCCTGGATGAGTTTTCCCAGAACGTCTTGGGTCAGCTCCTGAATGACCCATTCCTCTCAGAGAAGAGTGTGTCAATGGAGGTGGAGCCATCCCCGACGTCCCCAGCGCCTCTCATCCAGGCGGAGCATAGCTACTCTCTGTGTGAGGAGCCTCGGGCCCAGTCACCGTTCACTCACGTCACTGCCAGAGACAGCTTTAATGATGGTAAACTCAGAGAAGGGCCAACCCTGGGGACCTTGGACCCTTGGATTCTATGCTTCTTGAGGGTGTGGGTGTGTGTCCTATTACTGTTGGCACCCTCTTCAGCCACATACCTCTGATGTGTAAGGGCTTGTGCTTAGGCTGTAGGGACACATTTCTCTACATGAGGTTGTGCCTCCAGGAACCTATCGTAATTCAATGGGAGTAATTACATTCTTTGATCCTGTGGTTTAAGCAGCAAAGTAAGCCATCTGCAAGTCAGGTTGACCTGTGTGTTTGATAGTTCCCAAGTCTAATGAGCCCATTATTTCAAGGGGTCATGTCATTTTTTTTGTGAAAAAGAATATTTGTGACCATTCTTCTCCATAGAAGATTTTTGGGCATCTTCTTAGCCCATTTCCTGCATGTTCCATGTAGCCGACCGCGGTTTGAGTCCCAGACCTGGTGGCTTAAACTCATGCCGGGCATGTGTGCGTGTGTGCCCAAGATCCTGGGAGGAGAACGGAGGGGAAGGAATTGCGGCGTGGCCATCCCCCTGAGGGGTGATTTCTTGCTTTCTGTCTCTCTGTCTCTCTGTCTTTCTGGTGAGTGCACACGCCCTATAGCAAAAACCTCTCAAAAGAAAAAGAAAAGCCCCCGAAGTGAGAAATGAGTTCAGTACAGTAGCAGGTTACAAAGTCAATTTAAAAAACTATAGCATTTATGTACACCAAAAATAAACAGACTGAAACAGAATTGCAGCAAGCAATACTACTTACAATAGTCATGAAACAAGATACATAGGACTAAACTTAACCAAAGTGGTGAAAGACCTTTACAAGGAAACTATTTTTAAAAATTGAAAGAAGTTGAGTATGAATATAAGAAAAAAAAATATGAAAGGACATCACATGCTCTTGGATTGGAAGAATTAATATAATCAAGATGTCAGTTCTACTCAAATTAATTTATATATTTTAATTTACAATGCGATTCCAATCAAATTACTGGTGATATTCTTCACAGAAATTTTTAAAAAATTATAAAATTTGTCTGGAATTATAAAAGACCCCATATTATCAAGGCAATACCATGCAAAAAGAAGAAAACAGGAGGCATCTCACTACCCCATACCAAAAGAAGAAAACAGGAGGCATCTCACTACCAAACTTTGTATTATAAAAAAAGTAATAATTGAAATAGCACGATTGGCACAAAAATAGACACCTAGACCAATGGAACAAAATTAGAGATCCCAGAAATAAACCCCATCATACTGATCTTTGACAAAGGGTACAAAACAATGCAGTGGAGAAAAGAAAGTCTTTACAGCAGAAGGTGTGAAAGAACTGGGTATCCTCCTGCAGAAAAATGAAACTGGACCCTTATCTGTCACCACTAGCAAGAATCAACTAAAATTGGATAGAAGATTTAAATATAATGGCTTAAATGATAAAACTTCTATTAGAAAACATAGGGGAAACTTTTGAAGAGACTGGAGTAATCAAAGATTTCTTAAATAAGACTCCTAAAGTACAGCCAGTAATCCCCAAAATAGACAAATAGAATTACAGCATGCTAAAAATTTTCTCACAGAGAAGGAAACAATTATTAGAATGAAAAGACAACCCTCAGAAAGGGAGAAAATATTTGCAAATTATTCCTGAGGAAAGGGATTGATTCTAGAATATCTAAGGAACTCTAGCAACTTGCCCATTGAAAAAATGAATAATACAATTGAAAAATGGGCAAATGCATTCAACAGACAGCTCTCCAAAGAAGACTAACAAATAACCAAAAGGCATATGAAAAATGTTCAAAGTCTCTTATCATAAGGAAAATGCAAATTAAAATCACAATGAGATACTATTTAACCCCAGTTAGAATGACTAGGATTAAAAAAATGAAGAATGACACGTGTTGGCAAGACTGTGGAGAAAATGGGGACCCTCTTATACTGTTGGTAAGAATGTAAACTAGTACAGCCTCTATAGAAAACATGGAGGTTTCTTAAAAACTTACGAATAGAACTACTATATGATCCAGTAATCCCACTTCCTCATTTTTACCCAAAGGATAGGAGAACACTCAATCAGAAAACACTTGACTATCCATGTTTATTGCACCATTATTTACAATTGCTAAACATGGAACCAACGTAAGTGTCCAAAAATTTATGACTGAGTTGAGAAACTGCAGAACATACATACTATGGAATATTACTGAGCTATAAGAAACAGTGATCCTATCATTTGATGCAAAGTGGATGAATATAGAGGACTTAATGTTGAGCAGAATAAGCCAGACTTTGAAAGATACACACTGTATATCCCCACTCAATTTGTATCGAGTTTCTGTGCTTTATGGCAGAGGTTGAGAGATCTGCAAGTGTGATGTTGGAGAAGATGGGTGTGAATGCTACAGGTTGTAAGGGAGGAAAGTGAATGGTAGAGAGTGGGTGGTGAAGGGTGGTTGTGAGGTGCAAGGGGAAGAAACATTTCACAAACAGAAAAATATGAAGTTACCTGTTGAAAAAAAATATATATTATAAAACCCATGATGGGACTTCATGTAAAATGTGCAATTAAGAAAATAAGAAATAAAAATATAGGGGCTGTCAGGTGGCATAGTGGTGGACCATAGTTGGAGTCCCTAATCCAGTGGCTTGAAACTCATGCTGGATGCATGTGCCTGCATGCCCAAAATCCGGAGAGAAGAAAGGAGGAGAAAGGACTGTGGCATAGCTGTCCCCTCTGGGGTGTGATTTCTCACTTGCTATCTCTCTGTCTCTTTGTTGAGCACACACATCCTATAGCAAAAAAAAAAAAAAACAAAAAACTCAAAAAATATATAAAGGAGATAATTTAATAAAGACATATAAAATTTTTTAGATAGTTCCTCATTGTTCTTTAGAATGAAACTAACTTCATAAGCATAGCTTTTGGGTTCCCCTGTGGCTGATCCTGCCTCCATTTCTCTCCTATGTCCTATAACTCCCTGTCTGTATGGTTCTAGCATTTACTTTCCACTCCATGCCTTTTCTTGCATTTTTCTGTCCTTAGTGCGACCATTGCCTTTTCTGTAGCCTCTGCTTTCATCCACTAGACAAATTCCCACTTACCTCCGAAGATTCAACTCAGTGTCTGACCCTCCCACCTGGAAGTTGTCATCTTTCATCACATTTACATAATAGTTTTCTATCATTTCTGTAGAGATTATTATAGTTTTCCTTATGTTTTGTTCATCCACTTATTTGTTGGTTCCTTACAATATTTTCAGCTGATTGAGGGTAGGTAAGTTCTGTATTACTGGCACCTAGCTTTGGATTTGGCATTTTGAAGGTACCTGATAAATGTGTTTCATTGACTTGGTTAACAACTCGTTAAGGCAGAAGGTATGGAAGGCTGTAGCATATCTATAACCTATCATGATGGCATCATGGAAGATGATGTTCTGCTCTCCTGTGCATTGCTTGTAGTATCTCTGCCTGTGCAGATACATTGGACAGTAGGTATCTGATTGGAGTATTTCTTGGATTATAGCAGTTATCTTATATAGAACCAAGCACAGTGCCAAAGAGAGGCAGATCTTTTATAAATGCTTTCTTATGATTTTCAATGCAATCTCATAGCTATTGAGTCCTTACTTTGTAGGTAATAATCAGCGATAAACAGACAAAATAGATAAAAAATAAAAGGGACAGGGAACTGTGGGGGTTAGGGGGAGGAAGGAGAGTTGAAATTTTAATTGGGAAAGACAGAGAAGACCTTACGTTGAAAGTGACATTTGAGCAAAGAGGAAAAAAGGTGTATATCTCAGGAAGAGGCTTCTAAGCAGAGGAAACAGCAAGTACAGAGGTCCTGTAGCAGAAGTGTGATAAGAATACAGTGGTAATCTATAGTATTTTTAGACAGTTAACATCTGTAGAGGAGTCAGCCATTCAGCAGCCTTGCTGTTCTAAATAGAATATTTGGGTTATAAATGGCCTATATAAACTAGGCAGGCTAACTTTGCTCTAATGCCCATGTTCATTGGGCACCTACTATGTGTCAGGTACTGTCCTAGATATTTGTTGGATACAACAGTTAGACTTAGATCCTGCCTATAAGAAGCTTAGAGTCTAGTGAAAATTCCAATACTCAAAACTTCATTAGGCAGAATGTGAGCAGTATCCCAGAAGGAGACTAAACTGTAGAAGCTGGAGGAGAAACAGAAACCCATTGAAGAATATAGGAAAAGTCAAGTGAATGAGGCAGAATTTCAACTAGTCTTGGAGCATTGCAGAGAGTTCATATAGTTTGGAGGGAAGCAGATGAAGAGCAGAGGGCTAGGACTTTGATTCATCTAAAACGAGTCCCCTGAAATGACTGCAATAAGCAGATTTCCAAAAGTTCAGGATTCCTCCTCCTCCTCTTTCTTCTTCTTCTTTAAAGAATTACTTTATTTATTTATCTAAATTTGAGAGAGAGAGAGAGAGAGAGAGAGAGAGAGAGAGAGAGAAAGCCACCACCTGGTCCAGTACTCAAACCACAATCGGCCATGTGGGAGTCCAGCGCTCTTAACCACCATGCCACCTGCTGACCCCTTCTTTTTTTTTTTTTTTTAAGAGAGAATTTTGTTGTAGGTCATGTGTGCTTGCCAGAGAAACAGACACAGAGAGACAGAAAGTGAGAAATCACCTCCTCCCCAGAGGTATGTCCATGCCACAATCCCTTCTTCTCCCTTCTGCTCTCAAGATTTGGGGCATGCACACACACACGCTCCTGGCATGAGTTTTAAGTCACTGGGTCCGGAACTTGAACCATGGTTGACTATGTGAGAGTCCAGCGATATAATGATTGTTCCATCTGTTGGTTTCCAGGGTTCCTTCTGATTCCATGATGGCACTGTTTTTCTTTTTTAGTTCTAATCAATTAAAATGCAACATAAGGAACTCAAGGGTGCCACCTGGACTAATATCTTAGTGTGGGCAGAAATAAGAAGCAGATATCTTTTCCAGGAAGCCTTTTTTATCATGAGACCAA